TTTTTTTTTTTTAAGATTTTATTTATTTATTTGAGAGAGAGAGAATGAGAGAGCGTACATGAGAGGGGGGAGGGTCAGAGGGAGAAGCAGGCTCCCCGCCGAGCAGGGAACCCGATGCGGGACTCGATCCCGGGACTCCAGGATCATGACCTGAGCTGAAGGCAGTTGCTTAACCAACTGAGCCACCCAGGCGCCCCTATAGGATGATTTTTTTAAATATAATTTTTGAATAGGTAATTCATACACATGGTACAAAGTTTAGAAGTTAAAAAGAGAATTGATTTTTTATAGAGTAGCTGGCTGCTTTGGTAACCAATAAATATGCCAATATAAGTTGGTATATGGAGACAAACCAAATTGCTTTTCAAGCATAGTAAAGGACTTCATCTCTGTCACATCACATCCTGACCAGGTCCTGGAATACAAGTTAGTTTAGGTTTTCAGGATTTTGTAGTAATCCAACTTTTCTCCTGAGGAAATTTATAAAACCTGAATTTAAAAAAATCTTGGGTTCCATTAATAGTTATGTTTGTAGATTTAATGTTGCTTTTCATAATTGCCAGATTTCTTTAGGAAGATATATCAAGGTCAAGGCTGTTTTTTCAAAAGAGCTATGTAGAAGAGCCTTTTTTTTTTTTTTTTAAAGAATGATAGAAGAAATAACAATAAATTGTATGTCTGAACTGCAGAACTGATTTTAAATATACATTGACTGATTTTTGCTTTCTTTGGGATTTGTCATTTGAATTTTAGGTTTGCATCGCCAGCTCCTATATGTTACTTCCTTTGTCTTTATTGGATATTATCTTTTAAAACGCCAAGACTATATGTATGCTGTGAAGGACCATGATATGTTTGCTTATGTAAAATCACATCCAGAGGATTTTCCTGAAAAAGGTATTTCAAGTTAACTGTAGCGAACCTCTTTCTTTTAATTTTTTAAAATTTTAATTTATTTATTTTAAGATTTTATTTATTTATTTGTCAGCACACAAGCGGGGGGAGCAGCAGCAGAGGGAGAAGAGGGAGAAGCGGGCTTCCTGCCACGCAGGGAGCCCGATGCGGGACTCGATCCCAGGACCCTGGGATCATGACCTGAGCCGAAGGCAGACACTTAACCAACTGAGCCACCCAAGCGTCCCTTTTTTTTTTTTTAAAGTGTTTATGTATTTATTTGAGAGAGAATGAGAGAGCGAGCACAAGGGTGGAGAGGGAGAAAGGGAGTGGGAGAAGGAGAGAAGCAGATTCCCCGCTGAGCACAGGGCCCAATGTGGGGCTCAATCCCAGGACCCTGAGATCATGACCTGAGCTGAAATCAGGAGTCAGGCTTAACTGACTGAGCCACCGAGGCGCTCCTCATTAATCTTACAGATGCCTGTGGCTTCAGGTACCTTCAATATTCTGGGGCTCCCTATCTTTGCCTATCAACTAGAATTCTCTTGAATTTGTATATCCAGTTTCTGGCCGAGTACCTCTGTGTCCATCAGGCAGCAAACAGAATTTATGTACCCTCTGCCTGTGCAGACTTCCTCTTCTGTGTTCTGCTCCGGAGAGTGGCACTACTATCCACCTCGCTCCTCCAGCCAGAAGCCCGGGAAGCATCTTCCAGTCTTTCTTTGAATTCTCATTCATCTGCAAGTCTTGCTGTTCTACTTCCTAAGTATTTTTCAGTTCTAAACCTCCACTGCCACTCCCCCGGTCCATGCCCTGATAATCTCTTGCTTTTGCACTAGCCTTCATTTCACCTCTGCCTTCAACCTTACTGAAGATCAGGTCTCTGGATAAATGTGGATATGCCTCAAAGGGATTGCTTACAGTAGCTGCCCATTGCCTTTAGGATAAAATCCAGACTCTGAGGAGGGCTTATTTCCCCAGGCTGAGCTAATTGTCTGCTAGAAGGACTTTGCCCATGCCTTTTATCCAGCACGTGACATGCACGTGTCTGTTCCCTCACTAGACTATAAATTCATCTTTCTTTCCCCAGCCTCCAGTACAGAGCCTCTGCTAGTAAGCAATAAATAATAGCTGACCTGATCTACACAGAACCCTGCATTTGGGGCGCCTGGGTGGCTCAGTCGGTAAGCGTCTGCCTTGGGCTCAGGTCATGAACCCAGAGTCCTGGAATCGAGCCCCACGTCGGGTTCCCTCCTAAGTGGGGAGCCTGCTTCTCCCTCTCCTCCCTGTTCATGCTCTCTCTTGCTATCTCTGTCGCTGTCTCTCTCAAATAAATAAAATTTTAAAAAAGTAAAAGATTTAAAAAAAAAAAAAGCCTGCTTCATGAAACGCTGTGTCCTGAACTTGCTGTGTATCACTTTGTACACCCTGTACCTTCTTTCTTTTTTCTTTTTAAGATTTTATTTATTTATTTGACAGAGAGAGAGACACAGCAAAGAGGGAACACAAGCAGGGGGAGCGGGAGAGGGAGAAGCAGGCTTCCCGCTGAGGGAGGAGCCTGATATGCGGGGCTCTATCCCAGGACTCTGGGATCATGACCTGAGCCGAAGGCAGACGCTTAACGACTGAGCCACCCAGGCGCCCCCACCCTGTACCTTCTTGATCCTCCTCTTGTTCCATCTTTACCTGTCCACTGAGCGAATTCCAGATTGAGAGTCATATCATCTTAAAGAAGCCCTGGCCCAGCGACAAACAGGAATTTCCTCAGCACACTCTACTTACTGCTCTTCAACTATAAATTTGATTGTACTATAACTCTTTTATTGTTTGTATTTTACATATGTACACATAATACAGATGTGCACATATGTGAGTGAGTGAATGAATGAATGAATGCAGAAAATTTTTGAATTTGTAAATATATAGATTTTAAATAGATTTTCCTATTCATATAAATGTGTAATATTAAGCATTTAAGTTTCATTATATGGAATGATGGTCTCTAAGGTCCTGTTTAGCTCTAAAATTTTATTATTTAATAGCCTTCAGTCACATATGTGATGTTTATGGTGGATCAAAAAGGTACAGCTTTTTTTTTTTTTTTACCAACGAAGAGTTCAAAGACTAGAGTACAAAGCCATGAATACTGGATGTATCAGAGACGGGGAATACTCAAAACTGCTGCTGGGTGTTAGAGTTGGAATCTTGGGAATATTGATTCCTAAGAGTGAGACCCAGTGGCGGAGCGGTCCTCAGTCCCCAGCCTCCGGCTTCTAGCCTCCTCTGTACACTGGCTCCCTCTGTCGGCACGAGCTCGAGTCGCCTCACAGCCTCATTCAGTCTCTGAGCGGCAGATGAGTGGCAGGTGTGCCAGCAGCCTCCTGCACTGACAGCAGGGATCTGGGGCTTGACCACCTGACTCCCAGCCCTCCCAGCTGACCTGTGCCCCTCCCTGTTCATTCCTTCCTTTACCCCTTCAGCCAGGACCCCCGGCAGCACTTTGCCCCTCCAAGCAGCCATCTGGATGGATGTCACCACAGATTCTTTCAAAGTTATCCTTCATCCGGTGAAACGGAATGTCTCAGTGGTTGCCAAACTATGGTTGAGGACAAGAACATAAGGAAATTCTTAGGAGTTTATGTCTATAAAAATATTAAGTGTTAATTTTTCTTTAGGAAATAAGATTTCTGAAACATAATTTAAAAATAAATTTTTTGTGATCTTTCCCTTTATAGAAAAGAAAACTTACGGTGAATTTCTTGAAGAATTCCATCCAGTGCGTTGAAGTCTCCAAAATGCTTACTTTGGTTTCACAGATAGCAGTTATTTCTGAATTTTGTGGAACATGTTTCCATGATATCTGAAGTTTATGTTAATCTGTATGTTAACACCTTATGATTAAAATGGTCATCATGAACACTCTGACTTCATTTTTGTCATAAGAAAAATAATTCATGGGCGCCTGGGTGGCTCAGTTGGTTAAGCGACTGCCTTCGGCTCAGGTCATGATCCTGGAGTCCCGGGATCGAGTCCCACGTCGGGCTCCCTGCTCAGCAGGGAGTCTGCCTCTCTCTCTGACCCTCCCCCCTCTCATGCTCTCTGTCTCATTCTCTCTCTCAAATAAATAAATAAAATCTTTAAAAAGAAAAATAATTCATCAGAGAATGATCAGTTTCCATTCACCCAATTTTAAGAAGACATCTGACATTTAAAGTGGGGAGTTTAGCTCCGGGTTGGCAAGCAATAGCCTGTGAGCCAAATCTTGTCTGTTGCCAGTAGGTTTTATTGGAACACAGCCATGCTTATCTGTTTACATGTCAATGGCTGCTTCCATGCTGCAAGGGTAGAGTTGAGTGGTTGTGACAGAGACCTTATGGCCTGCAAAGCTGGAAATATTTAATATATGGTTCATTACAGAAAAGATTTGCCTGTTCTGGTTCTAGAAGAAAGCAAAACAAAGCAAGCCAGATTATGGAGGGTTTTCTGAATCGTGCAGAATAATCTGTACTTGATCCTGTAGGTGGTGGGAAGTCACTAAAGGGTTTTAGTGGAATGACATGGTCAGGTTTGTATTTTTGAGCTCTCTGCAACAATCAGTATAGAGGGTGGTTTAGAAGGAGAAGGCTCAGGACCAGGAAAACAGAAGACTGATACTGCAGAGGGGACTTTGCTTGTACTGGATCATCCTGGAGAAAGTGGGCTCAGCAGCTAACACTGTCTACAGCTACACTTGGTGCCATTAAAAGGAAAAACCCCCAACTACCTGCAATAAACTTACTGTTAATGACTTTTTGAGTCCAAATGTTTGTCCAAAAAGTTTCCAAGCTCAGATTTTATTTTATTTTATTTATTTATTTATTTATTTCCAAGCTCAGATTTTATAATCAGGTTAGTTTTGGGAGATCTGTAAGATTATTTCTGTGCATGATTTCAAATTAGAATGAATATAAGCCACTGGTTTCTGGGCAAAATCAGGTGAGTTCCATGTCTATTCAAATCATGCCTGAGAAATTAGAAGCTAAGAAAGATAAATACAAGTTTTTATTTTTTTTTTTTATTGCTACTCCAACAAATATAAATGAACTATATTGTTCATTCATGCTTGGCAGGTATAAGAGTGTGAACCATTCATCCCAAGGGACTTTGCTATCCCTTTGTTCTGGAGGGTAAAAAGTAAGGGCTAGACCAAATACAAGGTGAGGGTAGGAGAAAAAATTGTTTAATATCCGTAACAATCTTGTGAGGTCAGTAATACTATCCCATTTTAGAGATGAGGAATTTTAGGCTCCAATGGGTTAAATAACGTCCAGGATCACGTGGTGAATGACTTCAGGGAGAAAGGATGTGAGTTTCATTGGGTCAGATGCAGAAAACCCACATGCTGCCATACCACGGCAGATAACATCTAGCTCCTCATGAGCCACTGGCCACCACCCCAGCTGAAGAGAGGCATGAGGGGAGTCGTGAATAGCAACAAGCATCCTAAAGGTGACCTGGTGCCAAGTCCACAAACTGGCTCTCCGAGGGAGGCAGGGAAGCATCCCAGAGAACCAAGTCACCTCTGCTTCCAGCTGCAGGTCCAGGCCATTCCGGTTTGCCTCAGAGCTAGTGAGCTTTCCATGTCCTCACCACACAGTCTGCCTTCTGTCACTTAAAGGGATCTGCGAAGAGCAGAAATTTAAAAAACCAAGTCAGTGAAGTGGGAGGAGGGGTTTACTGACAGGGAAACGGCAATGCGGAAAGCTGAAATACGTTGTCCAGGGGCGCACAGAGGTCAGTGGTAGAACCGGCACAAGAGCCCAGGTTTTTTTAACTTCTGCTATACCAGATCGCCTCCATGAAAACCAGGTCCCGGTGTGCTGACACACGGCGCGGAACTGCTGCCCTTGTCTCTGAAGGAGTTGGGCTGGTCAAGGAGTGCGCTTTTGTTCTCTTTCTCCTTTCTTCCTTTTTTTTTGCAAAAGTTGACACCAAGTTGGATTTTTTTTTTTTTAAGATTTTATTTATTTGTCAGAGAGAGCACAAGCAGGGAGAGCGGCAGGCAGAGGGAGAAGCAGGCTCCCCACTGATCAAGGAGCCCGATGCCAGGATCCCAGGATCATGACTTGAGCTGAAGGCAGATGCTTAACTGACTGAGCCACCCAGGCGTCCCACCAAGTTGGATTTTTGTTCTAGTTCCTTTGTTTTAAACATTTATTTATTTGTTTGTTTGTTTATTTGAAAGAGAGCCAACAGAAAGAGCATGAGCAGGGGGGAAGAGCAGAGGCAGAGGGAGAAGCAGGCTCTCTGCTGAGCAGGGAGTCCAGATGTGGGGCTCGCTCCCAAGACCCTGGGATCATGACCCTAACTGAAGGCAGACACTTAACCAACTGAGCCACCCAGGCACCCCTGTTTGTTTTTTAATTGAAGTATAGTTGACCCACAGAGAGGGGGATTTCTCTCTACTCTGTCATCCCCAATCCCCACCTGCAGCCAGGCTGCAGAATCCTAAGGTGCTAAGGCAGTCCACTAGCATAGAGAAAGGGGACTGGATTCGAGTTAGCCCAGGGCTCATTCACATGTTGGCTCTGCCGTTCCCTGAGTAACCTTGGACTCCTTTCACTTCTCAGGCCCCCAGTTTTTTCATCTGTAAAAGGGAATGATGGTTCCATTAGAAAATTGACATGCGGGCCTGGGTGGCTCAGTTGGTTAAGCGACTGCCTTCGGCTCAGGTCATGATCCTGGAGTCCCGGGATCGAGTCCTGCATCGGGCTCCCTGCTCAGCGGGGGGTCTGCTTCTCCCTCTGACCCTCTTCCCTCTCGTGCTCTCTGTCTCTCATTCTCTCTCTCAAATAAATAAATAAAATCTTAAAAAAAAAAAGAAAAGAAAATTGACATGCAAGTGATTTTAAAACTATAAAACCATTCAAATGCCAGTAGTTATTTTTACCATTACTGTTACTCTTCAGTGAAGAAACGGAAACCCAGAGAAGTGAACTGGTGAAACCAAGGCCTTAGTGGTGGAGTCAGAACTTGAACCCGGGCTATTGACCAAGCATTCACATACTTACTAGTAAATGCACGAATGTGCAAGCACACACATGTGCACACAGGTATGCATTCACGGGCCACCTTTCCTACTATCACCCTGCAGTTCATGGCCATTACTTACCAAGCCTGGGTCAAGACAGTAAGACAGGCCTGGCCTTGAGCCCTCCCAGGTCATGGCCCTAATACCCGGAAGTGAGGGTGCCTGTCTGAGACCCAGGTTCTCCTGCTCCCACTGGGTTGGTTGTATCTCCCCTGGAATGTCCCTCAGTGGACTCTGACCCACATCAACGCCACCATTACCTTCCCTAGAGTCCGAGGCCTACATGGCCTGTCCCAATAACTCCTGGTATTTCCTTGTCACCTCCTCAGCTTTCAGGATAAGGTGGGTGAGGATGTGATGAAGGCTGGAAAAGTGCAGATGGAACTGAGCTTCCAGGTCCAGCTGCCCCAACACCCTCTCCTCCTTGTCCTCCTCTGTCTCTGCAGCTTCATGCTCGGGCTCGTGGGCTCTGGCACCTGCCACCTTGGACCACCAGTCCTCTCGGGGCAGCAGCCCATAGTCCACATCGACGCGGATGGCCTTGAGCATGGTGAAGCAGTTATAGAGATCGAGGGCCCCATCCTGAGCCTGCTGCCCCTGCCCATTCAGCTGCATGTCCCGCAGGAAGCTGGGGAGCATCACCACCTGCTCCATGTTGCGCACCACGGCCGAGTAGCGATCCATGACGGTCAGCAGGCAGTTCTTGGGGTAGTGCTTGGTTTGCACCTGCATGGTGGCTGCTGCTTGCCTGCTAAGCCCAGCACACTGTCCCAGCACTATTTTGACACTATTTTTATGTCTGGATATGACAGCAGTTTGACAGCATGCCAAAGCCCAGCCAGTGGGGCCACCCAACCCTTCTTTAGGCCAATCCCAGGGCTTGGGCACCCATGTCTATATCAGGTGACTCAGCTGCCCGAAGACAGACCCACCAGCTCCCTGTCATTTCAGCACTCCGAGACTGCCTCTGCAAGAGCCCGCCCCCTCCTTCCTCAGCTTGACCTGCCAGTTAGAGGGAAGCGTTTCCCGTTGGCCACCAGTGCTCTGACCCCAGGGCAGTCATGAATTCTTTCAGGTTCTCTGAGACCGGGCTGCCTCATCACTGCCAGCCTCCTCACACACGGTGCAATTTTTCAACCCAGGGTTGCCTGGCTTTGAAATGAACTAGGGAGGAGGGTCTTGATGTGAAACAGCTTAGTGTGGGACAAAGAGCACTGACATGGGAGCCAGAATCCTGCCACTTCCCAGCTGTGTTTTCTGGTTGTTTGCTGGCTGACACTTATTGAACACCTAACTTCACATCAAGCTCTACACTGGGTTGGAGTGACTTGCCTGTGGCCCCATTAGACCTGGGATGCCAGCCCAGCCCCACCTCTCTCCCACCTCCAGTCAGTGCTCTGGACTGATGTACGAGGCTGCCTAAGTTACACAAGTTAACTGGATCCATTTCCTTAGCTGTGAATTTGAGGTGTTGAGAGGATCAAAGCAGATAAAGCCCATGAAAATGCTTTCTAAACCACAAAGTACGGGTCCCGGCTGATCCCAGATGAATGCAGGTCTCTCTCCACTTTAACCTGTAATTCCACAAGTTACAGTGTTTCTTCGCCACTGACCTAGTCCTTTGATCTGCAGTCCTGGAAGACAACAATCCTTTGCACAGCCACATTGTCACAGTTCACACACTGCATTGGCTATATTTATTTATGGCATAACAAGGAAAATTGAGGCCCAAAGAGAGGCTCCCAGTTGTGCAACAAATGTCAGAGTCAAGTTCTGGTTCAGGCACCTGCTCACAGCACCTGGGTGGAAAGATCTGCTAGGTACCTTCTGCCCCAGCTGTGGGGAGGGAGGAGGAGGAGAGCACAGGGAGGGGATCTTCTCTCACCTAAGCCACCCTCACCCCCACCCCAGGGTGGGAGCCCCCTCTGCACCCTCCTGACTAACCATCGTCCACTTGTCCACTCCCTCCCTTGCCTATGGCCAGAGCTATAAGAAAGTTCATCTTTATGTTGAACTGAATTCTACCTCCCTTTAGCTCCTCCCTAGTCTGAGCTCCTGTCTACTAGTGATCCTGTCTGAGCCTCGGCTTCCTCCTCTGGTGTAATCACAATGACACTGATTGAGGGCCTACTTTTCAAAGCAAAAGTGCTTAAAAACAGAATTCAATCCTCCCAACAATGACATGTATGGTACGAGTTCCCCATTTACCCAGGAGGAAATTGAGGCCTACGGAGGTAAAGTAATCTGCCTAAGAATACACGTTGTTAGTTCTTAGGCAAGGAGGAGTTGGGATGAGTAGTAACTCCTACTGACAGGTCATTGTGCAGATTACCGGTGATGTTATCAGATATCTGGCATATTGCAAGACCTCAGTAAAGGTGCACTGCCTTCTGGCACTTCTGTCTTCACTCTCCTCTCCCAAGCCCTCTTTTATTCCTCCATTCCAGGACCTGCTACACACATTTCAGTTCATTTTGTACCTGTCCCAGGGCCCAGAGCAGCAAATGCTCCAGAGATACGAGCTGAATAATGACCATTAGATTTACTTCTCCATACATTCTAGGGTCTTTGGTCATAATGTCCAGTCGCCTTGAAAAACAGAGTCCCTGGCTAAACAGGAGGCAGTAGTGAGGACTCTGGCAGGCGAGGGAGCCCAAGCGGCTGCAGCCACACCTGGCCCCCCAGGACTGGCTTGCAAACGTAGGTGCTAACGGGAGCCTTTTCCAGAATCACTCCTCAGGGAAGGAAGGACGTGCCATGCTCCTGTCCCGAACGTCTGCATCGTCCAGGTTGCTCTCCCAGTACTTTACTGGAAGCAAAACTCTTAGCAAGACACACGACCCCAGGATTACCTCCATCAGTCAGCGGGATGAAGCTTTTGCATAAAATTGTTTCCTAAACTATGAGTAGAAAAGAGCAAGTTTTCGAAATTAATAGAGTAAGTGAAACAATTTAATTTTTACAGTTTACTTAAGTAAAGATTTGATTGATTCATTTCCAGCTCTAAAACATTTTTTGCTTGTTTTTGACCTTTATTGGGGAAAACATTCTTTTTTTTAAAGATTTTATCTATTTTTTTAGAGAGAGAGCGAGCAGGGTGGGGGGGAGGAGCAGATGGAGAGAGACAAGCAGACTCTGCACTGAGCGCAGAGCCCAACAGGGGGCTCCGCTCGGGGCTCCATCCCATGACCCTGAGATCCTGACCTGAGCCGAAATCAAGAGTCAGAAGCTTAACCAATTGAGCCACCCAGGCATCCCAGGAAAAATATTCTTTAAAAAAAAAAAGATTGTATTTATTTGAGAGAGAGAGAGAGCATGAGCAGGGGGAGATGCAGGCAGAGGGAGAGGGAGAAGCAGGCTCCCCACTGAGCAGAGAGCCCAATGTGGGGCTCAATCCTGGGACTCCAGGATCATGACCTGAGCCGAAGGCAGTTGCTTAACCAACTGAGCCACCCAGGTGCCCAGGAAAAATATTCTTAAAATGTTTTCTCCTCAGGAAAGTGGGGCTTCCTTTGTATTCAGACATCCAGGATGGCTGAGCAGTGGGTACAGCCAAAGACCACGAGGCTGGATCATGTGGTTTGGGTTTGGGGCTGCCGCCAGGCCCTCTTGCAAATAGGCTCCCTGGGCTCCAGTGTCCATGGCTGTAAAGGGAAGGGTTGGGAGCTCTCTGAAGGGAAGGCCCTGTCAGCCCTGTTGTATAACTCCTTCTGAATCCATGTCCAGGTCTCTGAGGGCATGACCCTGCCTTTTGAACCCAGCCCCCGGTCTCTGGCTCAGGACTGGAAAGCGTGATGTGGACAGGGCTGGGAGAGCTGATCCTGGCATGGTGGGCAGGCCAGAAGCGCCCTGCAAGTGGCAGCTTATTCATCTTTGATCCAGTGGCCTGGGGCCAACCGAGGCCTCCCTGGGCCTCCTCCACCCCATCTGTTCAACGAGGGGGCTGATCTTTGTGAGGGCCCCTCAAGCTCAGACTTTGGGGGCCTCCACCTGAGCACACGGTCGCCATGCCTTCTGTGTCATTCTGCCTCTGCATTTATGTCCTAACCCCATCTCGGGCCAGTCCATTCCCAGATGGATTCCACGAGTGGGTGTGATGGACGTGAGTGAGTGAGTGAGTGAGTGGATGGGTGGGTGTTAGTGAAAACTGGAGAAAATGAGCAAACTGGTAATTGGGAGAACAAAGGAGCCATGTGAGTGAACACGTGCAGAGCATACAGGAGTCCTGGGGAAGAGGGAGAGGATGGGGGCCGGCGTTGTCCGGCCAGCAGGCTACAAACGGAGACTGCCTTCAGGTCTACCTGGCAGATGGAAGGCCCCGGATCAAATGTTGCTGAATTAGTGGTTGCCCAGCTCTCGGATTCGTGGACAGAGAGACGGGATCTGAGGGGATAGGCCGAACTCAGAGAAGTTCTAGGAGTGGGTAGGGGAGTGGAGGAAGGCAGGAAAGAAGGAACATGGGGTCTTTACTTTCAGGGGGTGTGGTGGGGCAGGATAGGTGGCTCTGCTTCAGCAAGGTCCACTGGACTCAGAGGTCCTTGCTCTCCAGATGCTACATCCCAGAGTTGGGAGATGATCTGGTCCAGCTGGGCCACTGCTAGTAAGGAAGTCCTGGCCACCGGGGAGTGGGAGAGGGAGCAGAAGCTAGACTAGACCTCAAGCATTACTGGGTTTCCCCAGGCTTCCCCCTCTCCCCCTCCCTTGCTTCCCTGCTTTTAGGTGGGGAAACTGAGGTTGAGCGAGGCACTTCCTGGAATGACCTCCACAAAGCTGCCGGTGGCCTCACCCTCAGGGGATCTGAATTCCCCAAGTTGGATAAACTGATCTGGGCCCCAGATGCACTGGGGTCAAGGCCCCCAAGGATCAGGTCAGGAACACCATGTGAATGTTGTACAAAGGGTAAGATGACCAAGTAGTGCTCGGGAACTGCCAGGGTCCAGGCAACCCTGGCTAGGCCTGGGTCCAGGCAGCCAGAGAATGAACTCAGACTGAGGTTGCGACAAGTTTCCTAATTTTAAAAATGACTTTTATACATATGCACCATCTGCTATCTGCGGGCCTCAGGCTGTTTTTCTTCGCACTGTTACTTCAGTCCTGACCTATTGAGAAACACAAGGGGGCAAGAGTCAAGAGCTGTTCTACCTCCACCCCCAGATACTGAACCCCTCTGATGCGTTCCTACTCCCCGTTATGCCACAGGGAGGCAGGAGGAAATAGGGCATCTTGGTCCCTGCCCTCCAGAACTTGGCCCCTTTGTCACCCAGGGGACCTCATATATTGAGGGCTTCCTGTGTCTGCACTGTGCTGGGCCTGGAGATAGAACAAGGCACGAAGCAGACAAGGCACCTCACTCAGGCAGTTTGTATCTAGTAGGGAGAAAGCCACAGTGAACATATGCACAGATAAATATGATACTATCCCATTGTGACATGTACTAGAAACAAAGTAAAATAAAATAAAATAGCTAGAGCCTTGCTACTTACTACAGGTGTGGTTTGCAGATCAGCAGCATCTAATCACCAGAGAGCTCGTCAGGAATGCAGATTCTCAGGGCCTGCCCAGGACCTACTGAATCGGAAACTGCATTTCTTTCTTTCTTTTTTTTTTTTAAAAAAAGATTTTATTTATTCATTTGCCAGAGAGAGAGCCAGAGACAGCACAAGCGGGGGGGGGGGGGGGGGGGGGGGGGGGGGGGGGGGTGGCAGGCAGAGGGAGAAGCAGGCTTCCCACGGAGCAAGGAGCCCAATGCTGGAAGTCGATCCCAGGACCCTGGGATCATGACCTGAGCTGAAGGCAGA